CACCACCTATTGGTCAAACGTGATAAGCCAATAAATCATATTACTAGAGGTTGTATTTATGATTTTTCAGCTATGTTAATTACAATCAGAGGCGGACAAAGTACGGCTAGGCTAGGAAGCTAACGAGGGCTCTGTAGAGTAGCTATCACTGCTGGCGATAAGCGCATACAATACTCGGCAGTTAGAAAGGAGTGAGATTGAGTGTTAAATAGTGAGTGAGTGATATGATACAGCTGTGTGCAATCAGTGCTGTGTGCAGTCAGTGTAATGAATGATGGGATATGTAGTCCGGGGTGATATGCAACAGTGTAGTGCGAGAGTCAATGAAGTGGAAAGGGTGACCTCTGATGGCTAGCAGACGGAAGTTCATGGACCGGATACGTAACAGGTAAGAAGCATGCATGTTTATTATTTATAGATTTTGCATCCGCATTTAACACTATTCAACCACTTCTTTTAGCGGAACATTTGTTGTCTGAATTTGATGTTCCTATAAGGGCTTGGTGGCCTGGATTTTAGATTTTCTGACCAGAAGATCTCAAATAGTAAGTGTAAATGGAGAATATTCGCGGGAGCTTTATTCGTCAGTGGGTTGCCTCCAAGGTTGTATTCTTTCACCTCTTTTATTTATTTTATATACGGATAGGTGCAGAAGTCAATATCCAGGCAGACACATTATTAAAGGGGTCATATGATGTTGCTAAAAAGAACATTATTTTGTGTATTTGGTGTAATGAAATGTGTTTATGCGGTTTAAGGTTCAAAAAACACATTATTTTCCACATACTGTACATTATTGTTTCTCCTCTATGCCCCACCTTTCTGAAACACGTCGATTTTTACAAAGCTCATCGGTATGAAAAGCGAGGTGTGCTCTGATTGGCCAGCTATCCAGTGCGTTGTGATTGGCCGAATACCTCAAGCGTGTGACGGAAATGTTAAGCCCCTTACCATACTGTGATGCCATGTCCCGGCCGGAGCAACGAGACAAAAACATTAAAACCCATTATAAACGAGGCATTTGTTGCATCCAGTGGGGACATAATTACGGATTATAATGATTTATACTGCCTTTTTACGCGTTGCGTTGCGTTGCATCATAAACATAAAACCATGTCTGCATTTGCGATCGGAGAAATGACAAACAACAAGCACTACTCTACACTGCTCAAAACTCGTGTTTGAATCATCAGTGGCAAATTCTTGAAAACAGCGTCTTCACAACATGGCGGCGGCAGTGGCAGCAACAATAAAGTTATGCCTTCTTTCTTTGCATGAACATTTGGGCAGTGTTATGCAAATCTTCCCACATTGTGACATAGACATGTGGGGCCGTGTTTAAACATGGCGTTTTAGGAGGGCGTGGATGAGGTAACTTGGACCCGGTGTAGTATTTGGGTACAGTTATTGATGATAAGCCAAGTTGGGTGGAAAACACAAAATCAAAAGCACAAAAACGGTTTTATTTATTGAGGAAGCTTAAGTCCTTTGGTGTGGATAAATCTATTTTGATCATGTTTTATAGATCTTTTATTGAAACTTTCTTGACTTTTGCAAAGATTTGTTGGTTTTATGGACTAAATGTTAAAAGTAGATCCCAGATGCAGAGCATTGTTAATTTGGGGTCAAAGATTACAGGCTCTGTACAGTTGGGGGTATCTGCTCTGTGTGAGAAAAATGTCCTTAGGAAGTCCTTGACTATAGATGATACATCTAACATTTTGTAATCAGAATTTGAATTGCTCCCCTCAGGCATGCGATATAGAGTGCCCAAGTGGAGGACTGATAGAGCTTCTAGATCTTTTGTTTCAAATGCAATATTGATCGTAAACAATTATTTGAAACATAAAGATAAAGGTGTACTATGAATTTTAACATTATTTTAATATATGAAAAATGGTGCACTGTTAATGCCCGGGTTTTGTTGTTGTGGTTGTATTTGTTGTGATGTTTTTATTCTGTTTTGTCACAATGTCTTATAAATTTTTGTCTGTGAGGTTGATGCTGCATAAATTGCTCTGTGAAGGGACAAATAAAGATATTACTATGACTACTAATTGGAACTAGTAAGAACTGAATTGTAGAGCTCTCTAATTCAATTGTTACTACTAAGAAATGCATTAAAAGGCTCTCTAATTTGTAAGAATTGAATTGTAGAGTTCTCTAATTGAATCTAATAAGAATGTAATTGCAGAGCTCTGTAATTCAATTGTTAGGCTGCTAGTAAGAATTGAATTAGAGAGCTCTTTACTTGTAATTGTAACTAGTAAAAATTCATTTAGAGAGCTCTCAAAATGGCTTTGTTACTAGTAGGAATTTAATTATAGAGCTCTCTAATTGAATTGTTACTAGTAAAAATGCAATAGGACAAGTAACGCTGGGAATATTTTAAGCTAAAACGTTTAGGAACAAGATTGCGTGGGTGATTGAATCTGTTAGCGATCTGGCTATGTATTTAAATATCCAAAACATAGGGCTTCAAAACCGTGTTTAGTTAAATGAAACGTAATCTACCACAGTCAGCAGCGCAGACTGCTTTTCATCACGGACAGTTGGATTTCTAGTACTTGGAGAACAAATTAAAATGTATAAAACATATTTTATTTGTGAAGTGAATAGTCCATCTTCAAAAAGATCAGGGGCTTTTGGCACACGCCATTGCTCAGAAAGTCCAGAAAGTAATGGCGTGCAGAAAATCTCTAACATGGACAAAGGCATCCCGCTATCGCTGCAGCTATATAGCCTATAAAAAAGGTAATTTACAGGTATATGAATAATGCAGTGCTAATTGACATAACATTTATTACAGTATAAACCAATCATAAAATTTATTAGAAAAAATATTGGAATGAAAGGAATAAAAATATTATAGAATACAAATTATTGGTTAAAGTCTAGCAGTGCATTTGATTTCTTAGCAACAGAAAAAGAGATAAGAATAATAAATCCTGTCAATTATACAAAAGTCAGGATTTGTTTTTTTTTTGTTTTTTTTGACTGCTGCCCTCACTTCTGAAATGATGGCTATGTTCTTGAATGTTACGTCTGGTATATTAATGTGACGTGATATAACAACAATATTTCAACACGCTGCATTATTTTCCTCCTGATTTTTTCATGTTTCTATTGTATTCTGCTGTAAGTAAATGAAAAAAGAAAACATACATTGTGCATTTTTGGTCTGCTCTCCCGATTTAATTTACGATATAATCCATGAATAATTCCCTGGAATGCACTGAGAATCTTTCATTTTTTCCCCAAATTCTCATGTCTCTTTCCAGGTTTGTTTTCATACGGATGCTGTAAAATGTGACTGTTACGACATATAGACATACAGGTGCATCTCAAAAAATTTGAATATCGTGAAAAAGTTATTTTATTTTTTTTGTAACTTATTTCAAAAAGTGAAACTTTCATATATTCTAGATTCATTACATGTAAAGTAAAACATTTCAAAAGGTTTTTTTTTGTTTTGTTTTAATTTTGATGATTAGAGCTTACAGCTCATGAAAGTCAAAAATCCAGTAGCCTATCTCAAAAGAATATTTCCTAAGATCAATCAAAAAAAAAAGAAAAGAAAAAAAAAAGGATTTGCAAAACAGAAAAGTTCAAGTTCTTTAAATTATTTTCATTTCTGCACTCAATACTTGGTCGGGGCTCCTTTAGCACAAATTCCAGCATCAGTGAGGTGTGGCATGGAAGCGATCAGCCTGTGCTCCAAAGTCTCCTGGTAGATGGCTGCATTGATTTTGGACTTGATAAAACACAATGAACCAACACCAGCAGATGTCACAGCACCCCAAATCATCACTGACTTCACACTGGACTTAAAGCAGCTTGGATTCTGTGTCTCTCCAGTCTTCCTCCAGACTCCAGACCTTGATTTCCAAATGAAATGCAAAATTTACTTGAGGACTGAAAAGAGGACTTTGGAGCACTGAGCAACAGTCCGGTTCTTTTTCTCCTTAGCCCAGGTAAGATGCTTCTGACGTTGTTTCTGTTTCAGAAGTGGCTTGGTAGCCCTTTTCCTGAAGACGTCTGAACGTGGTGACTCTTGATGCACTGACACCAGCTTGCACTCCTTGTGAAGCTCTCCCAAGTGTTTGAATCGTCTTTGCTTGACAGTATTCTCAAGCTTGCGGTCATTCCTGTTGCTTGTGCACCTTTTCCTACCCATTTCTTCCTTCCAGTCAACTTTGCATTTAATATGCTTTGATACAGCACTCTGTGAACAGCCACCCCTTTCAGTAATGACCTTCTGTGATTTACCCTCTTTGTGGAGGGTGTCAATGATTGTCTTCTGGACCATTGCCAAGTCAGCAGTCTTCCCCATTATTGTGGTTTCAAAGAACAAGAGATACCCGGAATTTATACTGTAGGGATGGTCATTAAATGTAACTCAAATGTAAATATTCTGATATTTTGAGATACTGGATTTTTGACTTTTGATGATTTTTGATCATCAAAATTAAAATAAAACACTTTTGAAATGTTTTACTTTATATGTAATGAATCTAGAATATATGAAAGTTTCACTTTTTGAAATAAGTTACAAAAGAAAATGAACTTTTTTCACGATATTCTAATTTTTTTGAGATGCACCTGTATATTACTATAATGATATTTAACATGTCCGTATTGCTGTGGGTAGAAGGAGGATCTTTAGGAATTCGTGGTATGTTGAAAGTAATTTGTTAATGCTTTTACACTTTTACATTTCCTTTTAATGATCGATGGTTGAAGGGTGAGTAAAATAATGCAGCCTCAGTTTTTCAAAATGCTTATTATTGCGTTCATAGAGTGAATCTTTTGCTGATTGTTTACAGTGTAAACGGAAGTTACTCCCATAATTTGCACAAAGCGTCATGGGGCGTAGGAAAAAGGTGGATAGACAGAACTAAAATGATTAATATTGTGGTGTCTACTGTAGTTTCGGACACATTGGTACGTTTCGGAAAGAAGGACTTTTATTCTATTTCCGCGGTAGTGTGTCGACCGGAAGTGGGATCTGGATCGGAGCGGCTGCAGTCAGTTATCTTCATCACTCTCGCGCGTACGGCCATTTTCCTTCAGCTCGAGAAGATAGTTCCCGCAGACATGGCCGACTACTCTAACGTGGCTCCACCGTCCTCAAACGCCGGTGGAGGGATGAACGATGCTTTTAAAGACGCCCTTCAGAGAGCCAGACAAGTGAGTACTTTGAAAGCGTCCGAAAGTATTTCGTATCTTCAAGCTTTCCATTTAAAATTAACACGAAACGTAACCAGCTCGTTAGCTAACGTGCTAACTTGAGGCCTTGGTGCGTTCCAACAAAGAGGTTTCAGTTGTGTGCATTTTTTCTTCTATTTTATTTCCTTTTTAGTGTTTTATTTTAAAGCTTAAGTTAAGCAGAATGTGTTTTGTGAATGATACGTATATTTCGCACACGTTCCAATAAGCTAAAGAGCAAATTAGTAGTTGAAACTACGCATTATTAGACATTTAACGTTATGTGAACTGTAATTTACGTATACAAAACATTTACTTCTAGCTGGAATTAGGTCCCTAGACGTAGGATGACATTAATAAATATGTTTTTGTTAGTGTTTCTTTTCATCCGATTGTATAAATAAGCCGCGTGCAACTTCCTACGTTTTTGCTGCTAACAAGTCTACCTAGTTTTGTTCAGGACAACAGTAGAGACTCTTTGCAGGCCACACACCGTTACAGTGTTGTTATAATCATACACAGTTGTCTAAAAACTGTTTTATTTTTCATTTTATTTAAAACTGTTTGTTTTGACCGTGCATTTCACTATATTATTTTAGATAGCTGCAAAAATAGGAGGTGATGGTGTACCCCCCTCTCCGACATCCAATGAGTTTGGTTATGGTGGACAGAAGAGACCTCTTGAAGATGGAGGTAAGCTCATATGTGCCTTGTAGTGTCTTTGTTATTGTGCATAATGGTCCAAATAAAACACATTATTATACGTGTTTAATCTTTTATTCTTGACTTGTGGTCCTGCCAGACAAAACCGACCTAAGGCAATAAGTCTAACTTTTTTTTTTCAATTCAGATTCAATTAAAACAACTTTATCTATCAACCAGTGATAGAAATTTATCTTAGGTAAAAAAGGCTCACATGTACACAATACACAATATTAAGACACAAGATCCTGACAAAACTGTTTGGCCTTATTCAGAATAGAAATTGCAGTGGGAATTAAATAATTACTATAAGCCTTTCTAGCCAAAGGAGTTCTAAGCCGACAACCTGATGGAAGTATCTGAAAAAGGTAATGCAAAGGATGAGAGGGGTCAGTAACAATAGAAGCTGCTTTCCTCCTTACAGCACAGTTATAGAGATCTAAAAGTTTAGTCTGTGGGTACCCAATAATTTTAGATGCCTGTCGGATTACTCTTGATAATTTCTTCATTTTCAGCTGAAAGAAAGTTGAACCAAGAAACAATGTTAAAGGTTATAACCGATTCCACAAGTGACCGATACACTGCTGTTAAGATATCATGTCTTACATTAAAGCCCTTTAGCCTTCTCAAACGAGATAATTGCTGTTGAGCTTTCTTATAGACACTATTTGCCTGCTGTGTAAAAGACAAATGCCTGTCAATCTCAGTGCCCAAATATGTAAAGGCCTCAACCTGCTCCGCTACCTGCCCCCCCAGCTCAAGTGGTTCAGATAGAGGATGATCAGTGTTAAATGAACGAAACCTTCCACAACACATCTCCTTAGTCTTACTTATATTTAACTCCAGTGAACTTTCTTGGAACCAGAGGACCATATAATCAACAAATTGCCTATATGTAACCAGGGATTGCTCATCTCTCATACAAGCCACCAAGGCCATGTCATCAGCATAACAAAACGAGGATTTGTAAAGAAGAATGTCGGAGGATTTCGATATAAGCCAAGAGGAGACTGGTTTTCCTTTGCTAAAGTAAAGAAACTGCTTTCTTTGATCCTGTAAACAGACATTGGTTTTCACAAGACTCACCGTCGCATGCGCGAGGCTGAACTCATACGTCATCAGCCCGGAGCTGCTTCCGTGTACAACTGTTGGCGCAAGCTACATTAAAGTGATTATTACGTTTTGAATATGGATATTTTTCTTAAAAAAACGCGTCGATTCACTACAGGAGGCCTTTGTTCACCCCCCGGAGCCGTGTGAGACGCTTTTTTTTTTTAATGGATGGGCTTTCTTATAGACACTATTTGCCTGCTGTGTAAAAGATAAATGTCTGTCAATCTCAGTGCCCAAATATGTAAAGGCCTCAACCTGCTCCACTACCTGCCCCCCCCCAGCTTAAGTGGTTCAGATAGAGGATGATCAGTGTTAAATGAACGAAACCTTCCACAACACATCTCCTTAGTCTTACTTATATTTAACTCCAGTGAACTTTCTTGGAACCAGAGGACCATATAATCAACAAATTGCCTATATGTAACCAGGGATTGCTCATCTCTCATACAAGCCACCAAGGCCATGTCATCAGCATATTTCAAAAGTGACATGCCATTGATATCACACTTGATTTCGTTTGTATATATAGAAAATAAAATAGGCGATAACACAGCCCTGTGGAACCCCCGTATTCACAATAATACTGTTAGATTTAAAACCACACAGCCTAACATGTTGAGATCTATCTTTCAAAAAGTCTTTAATCCATAGCACAAGAGTTGTATTTACTTGTAGTTTCTGTAGTAAACCAATGTTCACTGTGTTAAATGCAGATGTGAAATCCATAAATAAAATCCTGACAAGTGAATTTGAAAGGTCTAAGTGCCTAGTCACTGTATCCAAGAGAGTTAAGCTGGCATCCTCAACTCCCCATTTTGACTTGTAAGCAAACTGAAGCGGATCCAAGCACTCGGCTACCTTGATCGTAAGCTCCCCCGCTACCACCTTCTCCATGCATTTACAGAGAATTGAGGTAAAAGCCACAGGTCTAAAATTCTTCATCTCCTTGACATGAGGTTTTTTTGGAACTGGAATAATGGTTGTGTCCTTCCATGCTCTCGGGACATACCCAGTTTTTAATGGATGGGCGCTTTTTATTTAAATTCTTTTGGACTGATGCATGCAACACCTGCTGAGTAGCATTAACCAGCTTGAAAGATCAAAGACAATTTTTAATATAACTCCGACTGGATTCGTCTGAAAGAAGAAAGTCATATACACCTAGGATGGCTCTGGGGTGAGTAAAACACAACCTAATTTTCATTTTTGGGTGAACTAACCCTTTAAGTCAGTCTGGTCCCAATTCACTCCAGAATTATTCATATTAAACCTAACATAAGCATTCAGCTGCTCAACAAAGGAGACCGCAATATTGTGTCTAAAATGTAAGCTACTCGTTATTAACTTGATGTTTATTGAAGTGTTGTATGACATGAGGTTTTTTTGGAACTGGAATAATGGTTGTGTCCTTCCATGCTCTCGGGACATACCCAGTGTTCAAGGACAACTGGAAGAGTTGAGCCACCATCCCGCCTACTTGGGCCGAACACTCTTTCAATAAGCGGCTCTGAAGTCCATCTGGACCAGGAGCTTTCCTTGGCTGTAATTTGGAGAGGATGGAGACAACCCTTTGTTCCTCCACACTGATTGGTGTAGGGGGATAACTTAAAGGGTTAGTTCACCCAAAAATGAAAATTAGGCTGTGTTTTACCCACCCCAGAGCCATCCTAGGTGTATATGACTTTCTTCTTTCAGACAAATCCAGTTGGAGTTATATTAAAATGGTGTTGGGGGATTACTTAAATCAGTCTGGTCCCAATCCACTCCAGAATTATTCATATTAAACCTAACATAAGCATTCAGCTGCTCAACAAAGGAGGCAGGGTCTGGACACTGAACTCGAGTTGAAGCCTGGGCTCTTCCCATCATCATATTAAGATTCTGCCATGCCGCCTTCGTATTTCCTTTAATAAACCTCTCCTCCATCTTGTCTTTATATCGAAGTTTGGCCAACCTGGTCAAACTTTTTTTGTGTGCTATATTTTAGTTAAAAAATATTTCAGTATTTTTTTTTTATATTTTCAGTGGGTTTCATGGTACTAAACAATATTCACTGCTTCACAATATGCACCATTTATTTCTGTATAAAAAAATTTATTAGGTCAGTTTGTTTTTGTGTTTTGGTCTTTTTTTGCCTAAAAAGACCAGAGGCTACCAGTGGGTTAAAAGTTTTAGTTAGTCTGATATGTAGTACTTCTATAGTTAGCGGTACTACTAGATGTTTTAAGTGCATTGTTTTAGTCTAAACTGTTTTGGTCTTTTTTTTCTTTCTTTTCTCTCTCTCTTCAGATCAACCAGAAACCAAGAAGATTCCACCAAGTGATCGTAAGCATTGCTATTGTCTTCTGGGAAGAACTAATTAGCTATTAAATATGTCTTATGCAGGGTTTGAAATTAACACCCGCCAACCCGCCAAATGCGGGTAAAAATCAGCTGTGGCGGGTAACGCTGTCAAATAACTAGCCAATTTGGCGGGTTACTTTTCGTAAATTGTTTACTAATTAATTTCTTGAGGACTCAGCATCATGTCATTCCAAACCTGTATTAATTTCTTTCTTCTGTGGAACATAAAAGAAGATATTTTGAGAAATTCAAGAAATGTCTGTCCATACAGAAATCAAGGTTAACCAAAATGGTTTGGTAACATTCTACAAAATATCTTTTGTGTTTTACAGAAGAAAGTAAGTCATACCGGTTTGGAAAGACATGAGGGTGAGGAAAGGATGACAGCATTTATTAGCAGTAAATTTCCTATGTTCTAGCACAAAATCAATGCTTATACTGTCAAGTGCATTTCTATGTGACAAAAATGCAGTAGGCTATTAGTTTGTTGCATTTGTTGTGAATTCAGTAATATATCATTATTTGTTTTTGTCCTCATTTAATTTATTTATTTACTTCAATTGAAGGCCCTATAAAACAGCGAAACATTCACAGGGGACCTTGAGTGCCGGGTAGGCTGGATTTGTCCAGGGACGAATTTTAACCCCAGTCCAGCCCTGTACCCATCACTATGCAACAAATAATGGCGTGGTGGGCGCACTGGTTTCCTTTGCATTGAAGCAATAACGAAAAGTCAAAAAATGCCTGAAGACTCGCACCGTGTCTACACCAGATGCGACAAAATACTATAGAACCCATTATAATCAGTGATGCGGCCTACACTGGATGTGGCACAGCACAGCACAACAAATCCCCGACAGTAAACTGATGCCTCGTTCTATTTATGACGTAGGCCTACTGTTTGACAAAGTACAAATGATTTGCAATGGTCACTGTGTCGCATCCAGTGTGGACAGCTTTAAGCTGTTGGCTTACCTCTGGCCTTTTTTTCATAATTTATTTGTTTAATTTTTTTGGCTAGTAGAAATTATGAATGGCCGGTAACTTAAAAATGTAGTAGCCAAATTGGCTGGTGAGTGAAAAAGTTAATTTCAAACCCTGGTCTTATGTATTTAACAGTTTTTAAGATGTGTCTGTTGCGCATCTCATAAGTTAATGCTTTTATTTGCACCAGCTTTTTCATCTGTAATGGGAGGCATGGGTGGCCCACCAAGGTAACTATTTTATTTATTTTTATTTTTTTAAACAAAATATTTAATGCAACACATAATTTGTATTTTTTAAATGGTACATTTTTGCATTTCCTTTTTCTTCTAATGTTATCACATCTCTGTGCAGGTCTATATCAGAAGAGTTCAAGGTTCCAGATGGCATGGTTGGCTTCAGTAAGTTGACTTATGAACTCAGAAAAACAAATATCCATTGCTACGTGCTTTGGAGGACTTGCATTTAAATCTCATAAAAAAAGGTACAATGTTAATTAAACCCTTGTTTTCAGTTATTGGAAGGGGAGGAGAACAGATTTCAAGAATACAGCAGGACTCAGGTTGCAAAATACAGATTGCTCCCGGTGAGTCAAATTGCTGTGTCCTGGCTCTGTGCATCTCATCTCTTTTTGGAGAAAAAAAAATGACAATGTTTATTCTGCACTCTACCCAACAGACAGTGGTGGCATGCCTGACAGGTCAGTGACATTAACAGGCTCACCTGATGCAATCCAGTGAGTATCTCCACACATTTAGAACTTTCTCATAGTTGAATTGAGTATGTATTTTATTTTATTATTATTATTTTTTTAAATATAGAAGTAGGTGGAATCAAAAATATACATTTCTTTAATAGGGCTGCAAAGAGTTTGCTCTCAGAGATTGTCGAGAAAGGTAGACCTTCTCCAGCATTCCACCACAATGATGGACCAGGGATGTCTGTTCAGGAGATCATGGTCCCTGCCTCCAAAGCTGGTCTGGTCATTGGAAAGGGAGGAGAAACAATCAAACAGTTACAGGTAAGGTGCACAAATGTGGTTAAATCAGAAACGATCATTTATTTGGTTTGAAGTCTACTTTTTCTTTCACTTTTTTTTTTTACGGACATTTACTTACTAATTTAATTGTTCAACACTTGTGTAATAGGAACGTGCGGGGGTCAAAATGGTCATGATTCAAGATGGACCCCAAAACACAGGGGCTGATAAACCACTCAGAATCTCTGGCGATCCTTTTAAAGTTCAGGTGAGTACATTTAAACCTTTGCAGTGTTACATTGAAATCATTCCAAATTATGGACTGTACATCTAAATATTTTTAAATTGCTTGGTCTGTACAGCAAGCTAAAGACATGGTGATGGATCTGATCAGAGATCAGGGTTTCCGGGAACAGAGAGGAGAGTATGGTTCTAGAGTAGGCGGTGGAGACAGTCTGGATGTAAGTACTGCTTAATGAGAATAATCATTAGGTTTTTTGTGATTTACATTTAAATGGAAATTTGAAAGGCAGTTGACAGTTTTTTTTTTTTGCTGTTGCTTTAGGTCCCTGTGCCAAGGTTTGCAGTGGGAATTGTGATTGGCAGGAGTGGTGAAATGATCAAGAAGATTCAGAATGACACTGGTGTGAGGATTCAGTTCAAACCAGGTGCATAAGAATATGCAAATCTGAATAGTTTTCTGACTATTTGTAAAAACAAAGCCCTATATAAGTCTTTAAAATGCTGTTTTTTCCAGCTTGTTACTCGCCATGAAAATAGCCAAGGAAGTTGGCATGACGTTAAAAGACCATCCTTTGACACAAATGCTTGTTCTTTTGCTTCAGATGATGGCTCCACACCAGAGAGGATCGCTCAGATTATGGGGCCTCCAGACAGGGCACAGCACGCAGCAGATATCATAACTGATCTGCTGAGGAGTGTGCAGGATGGAGGCCCCCCTGGTCACGGGGGCAGAGGGAGGGGCCGTGGACAGGGAAACTGGAACATGGGCCCTCCTGGAGGCCTGCAGGAATTCACTTTCACTGTGCCTACCATGAAGACTGGCCTCATTATCGGCAAAGGTTAGTTGTTGATATTTGCTTCCCTTTAAAGTGATATGCAATTTTTACATGACCTAAATTGATAATGAATGAACATTGATAATTTATTCTTTTTTTCCCTCTAGGGGGTGAAACCATTAAGAACATCAGCCAGCAGTCAGGAGCCAGGATAGAGTTACAAAGAAACCCTCCACCTAATTCGGACCCTAATATAAAGATCTTCACAGTCCGTGGATCACCCCAACAGATTGATTACGCCAGACAGCTGGTCGAGGAGAAGATTGGAGTGAGTACTGTGTCCATTAAGCCTAACAAATTTTTGCAAATTTTTTAAACATAAAACATAAATGTTTTTTTATAAAAGAAACATAAGAACATAAAATTATTGTTTTTCTGACATGTTGCTCCGACACAGAACTTTGTCTATTTATTGCTTATTGCCTGGTTTATACTAAAAATAATTTTGTTTTGTCATAGGGTCCAGTTAGCCCTATGGGTGGCCCTCATGGTCCTCCTGGGCCCCACGGAGGTCCTTCTCACGGCCCTCCCGGTCCACCAGGACCACCTGCTCCCATGGGCCCATACAACCCTGGGCCCTATGGCCAGGGCCCTCCTGGACCACAGTAAGGACTTTTTCCTTCTCAATGTTTAGCATTTGTCAGTGTTTTCACTCGGTCTTTAGGTGCCAATTCATCTTGAGATTAATTTAGTGTATCTTATTTTTTATCCTCAGTGGTCCCCCAGCACCATACCAGCCTCAAGGCTGGGGCAACGGATACCCTCATTGGCAGCAAGGACAGCCAGATCCCAGTAAGTGCTTGTCCCTTAGCCATGCTAACTAGGTTTAGTTTAGAATCATATTCAGATTCTCCACAATGCCCATCCATAGTCCTAGTTAAAACTAATGCAGCTTCAGTTGTCTGTTGGAGGAAAGACAAAATGGGCTAAGCTGTTGTTTGCTCTGCAGATAAAGCAGCGGCTGATGCTAATGCGGCCGCATGGGCAGCCTATTATTCTCAGTACCAACAGCAGCCCCAGGGCCCCATGACACCAACATCAGCAGCCCCTGGCACATCCCAGACCAATGGACAAGGTACTTTTTTTTTTTTAGATATATATAAACCTGCACTCCACAAAACTGTCACCCTCCCTTCACTCTAGATCTACTGTTGTACAGTAGTACTTGGTAGCCTTTCAGTGTAGCCATCACTGCACAGTACAATGTTGCTTTTCTGATGGGCTTTATTCGTTGTTCTGGGATGGCCTTTTTCGACTAGCACACATGGACAGGGCATTTTCTGAGACACTCGACCTGTTTGTGCAAAGTGCGCCACCTAGTCAGGTGGAGGACTTTCTGTAGCCTTTAAAAGAATGGTTATCAATTTCTCAAATTGTACCATTTTTAACAGGTGACCCGCAAGCTCCAGGTCAAAGTGGACAGGCAGATTACACCAAGGCCTGGGAGGAATATTACAAGAAATTGGGTATAAATATTTTGCCAAATGTAGCTTGAGGTTTTTTTTCTTTGAGAGATCAGGTTAAATAGCAGCAGGGCTTGAGTAGCCAATCAGTCCCGTTTTACTTTTGGAGTCTAGCGAGGCAAATTAGTGGCGTGAGAGTTTTGTCTTTGGTGCTTGTCCACAGAAATATTGGTCTCAAACCCTGCTGTTCAGAATGAGGAGCTGTAGTGTCTCAGTAGGATTAACACACTGAAAAACCATGAATAAGATTGTACTGCTCAGTTTTGTGTATGTATGTAATGGATAAGTATGTATGTAATGGAAAAATATGTACACCTTTTCAAATTTGTGCCTGTTTCAATGCCAGTTGTACTTGTAAATATTAAGTTTAAAATAGCTGAAATTGTAATGCTAGCTAAATCTTCATGAACTGTTTTAATTTAACAGTTATTTTTCTGATGGTATTTTATTTTTATGAATTTGGTGGTAGACTTGCATGTAGTATAGTTGCATGTTTTTACCAGAATTGTCAGTAAGTAATTCAGTAATGTTACCTTCAGTGTAACTGTTCTAATGTTTAAGCTCATGATTAATGTCTGTTTAATCTCGTCTCTTCAGGTCAAGGACAGCCTCAGCAGGACTACACAAAGGCATGGGAAGAGTACTATAAGAAACAAGGTAAGATATCATACGTAGATGTAGTTGCTTTGATTTCTAATAGTTTTGTGCAGCTGCAGCTCTTTCACAGTCCTCTGCAGTAGAGCTGCTGTTTTCTCGGCTGCCCTAGAGTAAAGTAGCGGGTTTCTGTCCCGCCACTCGGAGGTAGCGTGGCCGGGGTCGTTCCCCCTCTTACAAACATTGCCATGGAGTAATTTATCCTTAAATCAATCTTGTACAACGGGGTGGTTTAACAACACTGCCAGATTATTTTTCTGCTGCACCTCCCATCTTTAATGCTTTGGGTTTTATTTTGTTTCAGGTCAAGCTGCGCCTCAGGCGGCTGCAGCAGCGGCGGCGTCTCAGCCAGGAGGTCAGCCAGATTACAGTGCAGCGTGGGCAGAATATTACCGCCAGCAGGCAGCGTACTACGGCCAAGGCGCCCCTCAGGCGATGGGAGCTGCACCCCAGGCTCAGCAGGTACAATCCTATTAAAACACTCTGCTCTTTGCCTTTTGCGCTCTTCACTTGGTAGATGTGCATGTGTACAGTTTTTGTCCCCACCCTT